TTCATTAAATGCAATTCAAATGCTTTCCTTACCGTGGTCCAATATCGAAATGGAACGGGCTTTTAGCCAATTGAATATTGTAAAAACAAAATTGCAGAACAAAATGCATTTAAAAACTTTAAACGCAATATTAAGCATAAGGTTTGCTGTATTTGTTTAATCTTTAAAAACTCCTTTTTAATTTCTCAGATATGGATTGCGCAGGTATGGGAAATGTTGCCAGAAAAATACCTCATGGCTATTGAAAAAATTACAAATAAATATTTGACAATAAATGACAATAAATGAAAGCGACAGTACTATCTAGTATACTACTATACTATCCAATTTAATTTCATTTTAAAAATGTACAAATGAACTATTATAAATTGATTAACAATAACCTTTGTATTGATGTTTTTTCTCTTATTTGGGTGTAGCTTGGTTTTAAAATTTGTTTGTAAATTTTAGCTTATTCTAGCTTATTTTTTTATCAAAAATCTAGCTTATACGGGCGCTCATCACCTGGCAACACTGTGTGTGCCACTATTTTCTTTCTTTCTTGCCGCACAGTAGCGCCTCTCGATCCGATCGACAAATCCGACAGAGAATTTCCCAAGGATTATGAATCTGTAATCAAAGCGATTTTCAGTTTTTTTGTGGAAGATATTTAAAGTTGAAATTGTTTTCGGTGTAGGAAAATTAGTCGGCCTTCAGGTAATATTACACGATAACTGTATAAGCAATGGCCATCATTTTTTTATGGGAGCTATATGAAATAGTGCCCCAAATCATTTAAAACTTTGGGAGCTTAAAAAATGTATTCACACCAAATTTCAATTCAATACGTTCAAAATTAGAGTTTATGCAAAAAAAAAAAAACGGGAAAAACCATAGCGCAGTGTAAAATTGAAGCTAATACAGAGGTCAGGTTTTCGGAAGGAAAATATGTAACTTTATTCCCCACAGCCATCCTCATTACATCATCTACGCGAGAAAGCGCTTTTTTCGCGGGATAAAAAAACAGTGGAAAAAGTGTGTTGCTATGTTCACCAAATTGAAATCTGCGTCCTAGATGTCAAAACAAAGAAAAAACCTGGCTGAGGGTTTGCGTACAAAAATGTATTTAAAAAAAAATGAAAATATAAGAATTTAAAGGGATTCAAATAAACTATCCAAGTTAAATGTCTTTTTATTCTTTACTCTACACCCCAGCGATCTGTCTTCCCGTTTTGTTTATTAAATAAAAAAAAATAAATATGTAAAAATGTTGTAAATAATTGTATATAGTCCAGGTCCATACCAATTTGCACCATATTTACCCCACCTTTTAAACGCCAGGTAAAGTTTCCGGCGGCAATAAAATAATTTAAAAAAAAAGTTTTATGTACATACATAAATATGTATAGATCGATGATAATGACCGCCCTTCCACTTTCCTATAACGCAGAGGCTGGGACTTCGAAGCTTTTGAGTTTGTGAGTGCGTTTGGATGCAATTCAATTTCATTTTGTTGTTAGGTTTAATCGAGCTTATAAAAAACTCAGACATCGAGGTAAAGAGGGGCAGAGAGATAGAGCGCCAAAAGATCTGTTAGAATAACCTAGAGTCTGCGGGAAGCATCCAAATGAATGCTTAAAGTTACAGAATTCACTCAGTGAAATTCCGTGTTTCTAATCGACCTAGATCAGTGTATTTTGCCGGCGGAAAAGAATGGGGAAATTTTTTGATTTTCGAAATTGATTAAAGTAGTAAAAAGTATATATCCAATATTAAATTAAATCGAATCTTTATTATAGTGAGGATAAAAATTTGCGAAAAAAACGCATCGATTGTCTAACGATCTAGCGCCCAGTTTTTTTTTTTTTAAGTAGTTAAATGAAAACAAGAAAGAATGCTAACTTCGGCACGCCGAAGTTTGTATACCCTTGCAGATTGGTTTTCATATTATATCATAAGTTATAATGCCGAAAACAGACATTAAACAGAGTTTCATAACATTTTACCTATACTTATTATGTTTACAGTTTGACAGTTACAGTTATACATTCCCAGCTTTACATTTTCTCTACATCTGCGGATCGCTTCTATGGCAGCTATATGATATAGTCGCCCGATTTTATAATATTGTTACCAAAATTCTGAAATAATACTAAAAGCTCATGTAGAAAGAGTAGATGAAAATACGTTGAAAAACAACGAAGTTATAATTTTTTTTCTATTAATTTCCCGATCGATCCTATGGCAGCTATAAGATATAGTGGTCCGATTTTTATAACATTTTTAACAAAATTTTGGCTATATCTTAAAAATAATGGAATAATATTGAAAAACAGCCAAGTTATAATTTTTTTTCTAATAATTTATCGAACATTTGTATGGCAGCTATATGATATAGTCGTCCGATCCGGCCCGTTCCGACATATATATCAGTGAGAGTATATAGAAGACTATATGCAAAGTTTCATTCAGATAGCTTTGAAACTGAGGGACTAGTTTGCGTAGAAACGGACAGACGGACATGGCTAGATCGACTCGGCTGTTGATGCTGATCAAGAATATATATACTTTATAGGGTCGGAAACGTTTCCTTCACTGCGTTGCAAACTTCTGGCTGAAATTATAATACCCTGCAAGGGTATAATGAGGGCATGTTTGAGACCAAAATAAATCTTAGCAAATCAGTTTTATAATTGAATGGTAACAAATTTTAATTAGGTTATTGAAGTTGATTCGGCTCCGCGTTGATTTTTAAATTTAATGGTTCTAGCTCTTTGAATTTTATTTTAGTATAAATGCATACTTTTAGGTTTAAGTCAATACACATTATACTGTGCTAATCAAAGTCTATATGAATACCTTAGTAAGGTCTACGAAAAGGGTCATTAGATTCATATTCAGGATACAGGAGTTGTGATGACCAAGGGAGGGTTAAGCCGCTTCACAACCCTCAGGAGCGAGCTAACTAGCTACTAGTGTTTATATCAGATTTGTTTTCATTGTAGATGCTTTTGTTTGGTTCCTTTATTTTTTTGTTGTAGCATGCATTTAAATCTTAACTTTATGACTCAATCTGCCTCCGAATCGTGACATTGCAAATAAAGAATAATAATATTCATTTGTTTGTTTTATAAAGACAAAAACAATATTATTATTGTTTATTAACAAAGGATTCCAAAATGCTAACACTTCCCAAATTTTGGGGCGACTTGTTTCACGAAACTGACCATCAAAACAAGTACAATTCGCCCGTATATTAAGAAAGAAACAAGAAAGGAAGCTAACTTCGGCACACCCAAGTTTGTATACCCTTGCAGATTGGTTTTGATGTTTATATTATAAATTATAATGTTGAAAACACACACAAAACACAGTTTCATTACATTTTACCTATACTTATTATGTTTACAGTTTGACAGTTAAAGTTTTACATTCACAGCTTTACATTTTCTCTACATCTACTGATCGCTCCTATGGCAGCTATATGATATAGTTGTCCGATTTTTATGAAATTTATACCAAAATTCTAAAATAATAAAAAAAATCTCATATCTCAGAGTAGATGAAAATACGTTGAAAAGCACTGAAGTTAAAATTTTTGTTCCTATTAATTTCCTGATCATTCCTATAAGATATAGTCGTCCGATTTTCAAAAAATTTCCAAAATTCTGGAAAAATATAAAATGGCTACATCTCAGAAATTATGCAAAAATATTGAAGAACAGCCAAGTTATAATTTTTTTCTAATAATTTATCGAACATTTGTATGGCAACTATATAATATAGTCGTCCGATCCGGCCCGCTACAACTTATATAGCAGTGAGACTATATAGAAGACTATATGCAAAGTTTCATTCAGATAGCTTTAAAACTGAGGGACTAGTTTGCGTTGAAACGGACAGACGGACGGACGGACGGATAGACGGACATTGCTAGATCGACTAGGCTGTTGATGCTGATCAAGAATATATATACTTTATATGGTCGGAAACGTCTCCTTAACTTCATTGCACACTTCTGACTGAAATTATAATACCCTGCAAGGGTATACAAATTGTACTATTACCGGAGCAGGCCTGCATACATATGTTTGCAAATATGTACATACATATGTCACAGATTTACATACATCGCGGTACATACATATGTACATGTGTACAAAATTAATTGAATTTGAGCTAGGGACCGCGCGTATTGATAAGTCGCATCAAATCGGACAGCGATTGATAAACGCGAGAACGTTTTTAAAGCTTATTTTTTCAGATGACCCCCACTGGGAACAGCCGCAGCAGCGGGCAACAAAGTCCATTGCAAGCAGTTGCAAATTGAATTTTGTGTGCGTGTGTCCGCTTCTGTTAGTGTTTGTTCGCATTGTTAAATGTCCGCATCAGCTTTAGGAGAAGCAACAACACGAGATGGGAAACGAGAGCGCAGAGAGTACTGCCGCCGACCATTGTTAACGGTAGTGAGCGAGCAAGACAGCCTCTCTTTCTGAACCTCCACCACCAGCAATTGTTAGTCCTTACTTGCTACCAAAATCCTTCCCAACATCCAACCCTTGCTCTCCTGGAAGCTGTTTCCTTGGGTTCAGCTGTTGCTTCACTTCCAATTGTTGCTCCGCCTCGCCCTCTCTTTGGCCAAGTCTCAGATGCTGCCAAGCTTTGTCTGCCCTGCTGCCTTGAAGCTTGAAGCGAGTGAATAATCCAAGATAGTGGTCAGTACTTGCCACAACATTGTTATCAGTATTACTCACTTGCTGCAGAGCGCCGATAAGCGAGGAGCTCTCTTCAAAAATATTTGCTCTGTGGCAGCAGCGCAGCAGCTATATCTATTCCGCGATTGTTTACATCAGCGGAGGCGGAATGGCATCCTCTCTTCGCTCCCACTCTCCACTCTCTCTGGCACGCGGTGGAAAGCGAGAGGCAGAGCTCCCGCTGCTACTCTCTGGCGCTCTGCCACTGGCGACTCTCTTGCGAGCGGCGGCTGCTGCGCGCTGCCAATTTGCAAGAAAATTAAGTTCGTTTACAGTTGTGAAAATCGACGAGGAGAACAGCGGCGAACTGCTCTCTGCCAGGAAGCTGCCAATAGCCAATGGAGGTGACAAGTGGCAACTGAAGTACCAAAATGTTAATAACGCGGCAAATGTGCGATTAGTTAGCTGGTCGTCGTAGTAAAACTTTAGCTTACATTGCAATAAATTCGTGTTTTCGGATGGGCTTGTTAGTGTTGTTGTCGCTATTGTTTTTGCCTCTCTCGCCGCGTCCGCCCGCTTAAATAATGTGTATACGGACACACTCACAACTGACAACAGTGTGAGTGGTAAAATTGCCTTTTTGCCGAACATCCGTTTGAAATTTCGTCGAGTGTCCGCCGTGGCAGCCAATAGTTAGTTGTTGCAAGGCCTCCGAGCTACACACGACACATCAAATCAACACACTACACAGCATACATACATACATACATACGTACTACACAACAAAGGGCAACAACAGCGTCGCATCCCCAATAAGTGGCAGCAACTGCGACGAACAACAGCAGCAGCGTTTGTTGTTAATTGAAATAAATTGAAATAAATTCCTCGACTTTGCTGCTCATATTGTTAATAAAGAGCAGTACAAGCAGCAGCAACAGCCGCAGCCAGCAGCAACAAGCAGCGTAAACAAAACAGTGAGCAAATGTGGGTCTAGTTCCGTGCCAGGCGACAAAATAAAGGTTTGTTAAGCGAAAGAACAAACCATTTTACAAGCCACCGGAGTTCAGTGCTTAAAATCAAGCGAATCATTGAATTCCCCCGATGTTGGTATAAGAGTGTCAGGCAGATGCTGGCTTTTATTTTTAGACGCGAGTGTGTTGCTGTATCCGAGCCCTTCTGTCGGTTCAATTGGAAATGAAAAGTTGGCAAAAGGGTGTGTAAGAGACTGAATTAAAAAAGAGAGAGAGGGAGATTGGTAGGATCCATGATTCAACTATACAAGGTGGTCTCATAATCTTTGTTGAGGACGATATCAATCTCCCTCCGCTTTCAGTAGGAAGTTATGGCCATAGCAATACCGTTTTCAAAATAGAGAAGTTCTCGGAGTGAGAGCACCTCATATAGTTGAATCTTGGTAGGACCCAGAACTCTTTTCCGCCTCTCACCCACCACTCCACCCATATTCCCCTCCCCCACTCCATGCCACACGAAATCACTCGCACGATCGGACAATAAATAAATACTTTCTCGCCGAGTCAGAATTACTGGGCTTCCCAGAACGGCATTGTTTATGCCATACGATTCTTGTTTAGCTAACAGCTACTTATGCGAACTCGCACTTGTATACAAAGGAAGTGTATACGATTCGCATTTGTTGGCGATGGCAAGGGGATCGGCCACAGGCAGCAGCCATAATCAGTTTTATGTTTGCATTGTCCCCTGCTACTGCTTATCATCTCCCGCAGAAGTAATGTCATTTTATTTGCATTTGTGATTTGAGAAAGAAATATTAGCGCGACCCCACTTAAAACCACAGGGGTCAGTAAACTTTCTACCTCTCGCAAGGTGGGGAGGCTGCTCACCGAAACAGCACCCTAACCCTTGACCAACTAGCGCCGAAATGTATGCAACAGTCGCACGACCATCAATAATAATAACGATTTTCTCACATCACTCTACTTACTTCCAGCATCCAGCACCAAACATACAGCCGCAGAGGGCCAACACTCTACTTCTTTGTCAGGTGGGACATGCGCAGTGACAGCTTTGGTAGTGGCAACAGTGGCTTGGCCAACAAACCGTGAGAGCGGAACCGAGTTAGCAGGACAATTCGCTTGCAGAAGCCATACCGCACGACATGGCCTTCTCGCGGCACAACATCGAGAAGCGCCGACTCATCGAGCTAGTGCGCCTGAACCCCATCCTATGGGACTGCCGCCTGCCCCACTACAAGCGCTCTGATAAAAAGAAGGCCATCAAGTGGAATGAACTGGGGCGACTTTTCAACGTAAACGGTGAGCGGGTACAGCGCACCTTCACATCACTCAGGGAGATCTTCCGTCGTGAGCTGAACCATGAGAAGATGCTGGGCACCACGCGCTTCAAGTCCAAATGGGAGTACTACGACGCTATGGGATTCTTGAAGGAGGTCATTCGGGAGCGCAAGTAACATCACTATTAGATTCCTTGTTTTATCAACTTTCCAGCCTTTGGTTGTAACTAGAAAGATATTTTTAAGCTATGTATAAAAGACATCATCGCACGGTATTATAATTTTAGTCAAAAGTATGGAACGCAGTAAAGGAGCCATTTCCCACCCTATATATATTTTTATTTAGCATCAACAGCCGAGTTAACCTAGCCATGTCCGTCTGTTCGCCCGTCCGTCTGTTAGTTTCTAGCCAAGCTAGAATCTCATTTTTGGAGCTATCTCAATAAAACTTTGCAAAAAGTTTTCTGACTGTTCTCCCTAGTAACTATATACTATATACTTTATATATTTTTTAATATTAGCATATCACTTTGATGTTCTTTCATACAAACTACTGTCACCTTCTTTGAGATATGGTCATTTAAGATTGTTTTAAAATTTAAAATATAGGAAAGATCAGTAGATAAAGCGAAAAGTGTAATACTGTAAATGTAATATATATTTAATATGCTTTTGTTCAGCATATATATATTTATTATTTACATTGTATTAGATACTGCAAGCCTAAGGTATAGTTTTTAAATACGATTTAAAAATAATGTTTTTGGGATTTAATCAAATTATTAGAATTACATTTAAAAAAAAACCTGATTTTTAATTTGGTAAAGGTTTATAACTTTTTTAATAATTTTTTTTTTTTGACCTTCTTGATGTCTTAGTGCTCTTTCCCAATATCTTCAGTAACTACCTAAAATAAAATTATTACATAAACTTTATTAAAAACATATAACATAAGTTTAAAAAGAAAAGAAAATAACCATTGTTTGGGACATTTTTTTTAGGATGAGTTTCTAAAGTTCTAAGTGTGCCAACAAACGATAACATTTTCTGAATTGCTCGTTTCAGATCTCGAGAGCGCATCAAACCAGGATCCGTAGATACCGCTCCTGCCACAACGAGCAACAACAACAATAATTTGAGTCGCAATAGCAGCAACAATAACAGCAGTACCACGGCTCTAGATGAGTATCAGTACTTTGCACCCAGCGACCCCAACAACCCGAATAACCAGCCACAGTCACAGGTCTCGGTCCAAAGTCTCAAGTCAACGTCCAAGAGCAACTCGACTGCAGTAAATATTCCAAAGCAGGGTCTGAGCCTCAGCCAGTTGCCCGCCGCTCTTCAGCAGCAGGCTCAACACCTTCAGGCGCTTCAGCTGCAGCCGGACGTGACGCTGACCTCAATAAGCGCGCTCCAGAGCCAGCCTCCAGGTAGTCCGCAACGCATGATTACCCCTACGGCAACGTCTGTACATCACACCTCGCCCGCCCAAGTATTGTCCAGCTCGCGCTCATGCAGCTCATCGCCATCCATTTACATCAAGGACGAGCCGGGCTCTCCTGTAGGTGGAGAAAATGGGGATGTTTCCGAAAACGTGCCAGAGGTGGCAAGGAAAAAGCTAGCCACTATTCGGCCCCAGACCAAGCAACAGCTCAAGGCTCGCTTGCAATTACCTCTCTCTAAGAACTCAACGGTGTTTGCAACGTCGCCGCCCCATCTGATCATCAACGCCAACAACGAGTTGATTGACGCTGACGCCGGAGATCTGGACGAGGATCTAGACGACTTCGATGAAGATGAAGATGGGACCGGACGCTGTTCGCCTGCAGTGGACGTAGACATGATGGGTATCGATGGCCGGCTCTCGGCTGGAAGCAGCTACACTGGAGTAGGCGGGGTCGGAGAACGAGGGCTTGGGCGAATCCATTCGCACTCGCGTCAGGTGCCCGGTCCCAGAGAGTTGCTCTACATAAAGTTTGGCGACTTCCTCTCAGCCCGACTGAACACCTTACAAGAGACTGTGGCCAACGACCTGATGAACAAGATTTTGCTGCTCATCGCAGAGAAGTAAGGACTGAGGCAACCTCCGCATTGATTAAATCTGCTGCGGAACTGGTGAGTGTTTTAAAATGATTCAGCAATTGATTATTAGCTACCAAACAAAGGTTTCGGAAAATGCTTTTAGAAAAATGAATGAAGTTGGGTTCTTATAAGATATGTGAGTGAAAAGAGGTCTGAATTACAGGGGCTTTCAATAAACAAAAAATTGTAAAATTATCAGAAAGTCTGGGTTTCGCCTACACTTCGTTGAAAAAGGGCTGACTTTGACGGAAAAGATGTTCAAACGAGAAAATAAGCCGACTTCCGGAACCTAAAGTTTGAATACTCTTGCGGCCTCATTCATAAAAATCAGACGCTAGTTAAATAAATTAATCAACTTTCCGCCTGTTTGTTGTTTATTTTTTAGATTCCAGGATTTTTTTAATACCCTTGCAGGGTATTATAATTTCAGTCAGAAGTTTGCAACGCAGTGAAGGAGACGTTTCCGACCCTATAAAGTATATATATTCTTGATCAGCATCAACAGCCGAGTCGATCTAGCCATGTCCGTCTGTCCGTCTGTCCGTCCCTCCGTCTGTCCGTTTCTACGCAAACTAGTCCCTCAGTTTTAAAGCTATCTGAATGAAACTTTGCATATAGTCTTCTATATACTCTCACTGCTATATATGTCGGAACGGGCCGGATCGGACGACTATATCATATAGCTCCCATACAAATGTTTAGACAAACATACAAATTTTTAGAAAAAAAATTATAACTTGGCTGTTTCTCAATATTTATACCCTTGCAGGGTATTATAATTTCAGTCAGAAGTTTGCAATGCAGTGAAGGAGATGTTTCCGACCCTATAAAGTATATATATTCTTGATCAGCATCAACAGCCGAGTCGATCTAGCCATGTCCGTCTGTCCGTCTGTCTGTCTGTCCGTCTGTCCGTCTGTCCGTCTGTCCGTCTGTCTGTCTGTCTGTCTGTCTGTCCGTCTGTCCGTCTGTCTGTCTGTCCGTCTGTCTGTTTCTACGCAAACTAGTCCCTCAGTTTTGAAGCTATCTGAATAAAACTTTGCATATAGTCTTCTATATACTCTCACTGCTATATATGTCGGAACGGGCCGGATCGGACGACTATATCATATATATAGCTGCCATACAAATGTTCGATATATTTGTAGAAAAAAAATTATAACTTTGCAGTTTTTCAACATTTTTGCACCATTTTTTAGATGTGGCCATTTTATATTATTTCAGAATTTTGGTAAAAATTTTATGAAAATCGGACGACTATATGATATAGCTGCCATAGGAATGGTCGAGAAATAAATAGGAAAAAAAATTATAGTTTCGTTGTTTTTCAACGTATGTTTATCTACTCTGAGATATAAGCTTTTTTTATTATTCTAGAATTATGGTATAAATTTCATAAAAATCGGACAACTATATCATATAATTGCCATATAAACCGATCGGTAGATGTAGAGAAAATGTAAAACTGGGAATGTAAAACTGTAACTGTCAAACTGTAAACATAATAAGTATAGGTAACATGTAATGAAACTCTGTTTTGTGAGTGTTTTCAGCATTTAAATCTATAATATAAACCTTAAAACCAATCTGCAAGGGTATACAAACTTCGGCGTGCCGAAGTTAGCTTCCTTTCTTGTTTTGCATCATTTTTGAGATATAGCCATTTTATATTGTTTCAGAATTTTGGTAAAATTTTAATGAAAATCGGACGACATTGTCTTATAGCTGCCATAGGAACGATCGGAAAATGAATAGGATAAAAATTATAACTTCGTTGTTTTTTTAACATATTCTTATCTACTTTTAGATATAAGCTTCTTTTCTTATTTCAGAATTTTGGTAAAAATTTTATGAAAATCGGACAACTATATCATATATGTAGCTGCCATATAAACGATCGGTAAATGTGGAGAAAATATAAAGCTGGGAATGTAAAACTGTAACTGTCAAACTGTAAACATAATAAGTATAGGTAAAATGTAATGAAACTCTGTTTTGTGAGCGTTTTCAGCATTTAAATCTATAATATAAACATCAAAACCAATCTGCAAGGGTATACGAACTTCGGCGTGCCGAAGTTAGCTTCCTTTTTTGTTTTACAATATTATTTATTAAGCAGCAGAAATTAAAATTTATAAAAACAGCATTTACTACACTATTTTGCTAGTCAAACGAGATAGCATAGTCCTAAGTATTGATAGACTTTTGGTATAATATATAACCCATGCCTTTCTAAAAGAATAAAATTAAACAATTTATTTGGATAAATTATTTTATTTTATGAATAGAGTTTAAAATAAAATAATAAATAATTACAAATTTGTATTTTATTCGTCACGAAGTATTCTTGAAGTCACTTTTATCTTACCTCGTTAAGAGTTGTTTTCCTATGATTTAGAAACACACAATTTTAAAAAAGTACTTTAATTTCCGAGACCTCATTTCAGGTCATAGAAGAAAACGAAAATAATTAAACTTTGCAGATAGTATTTTGACTACTATCACTGCTATATAAAAATGTTGTATGACGAAATTATAACTTCGCTGTTGTTTAACAAATTTTCATCTTCTTTGAGATATGGCCATTTAATATTATTTTAAAATTTTTTTTTTAATTTTTTTAAATATATACTATATAGTTATACTTTATCATATAGCTGCAACAGAAACCACCGGTATGGTAAGACTATTTTATTATATTTCAGAATATCGGATTAAACTTTATGACAAAAAAAAAAAAATTGTATACCCTTGCAGTTTGCAATTGGATCATTAAGAATCGATCCTTCCTGGTCAAATTAATAGAAAAACTTAATAGGAAATATATAAAACATGTATATTTATACATAGCATATACTTGTATATTCTTATAAGAATTGGTTTTGATAAAATTACATTTTACCTATAATTATTATGTTTACAGTTTGACAGTTACAGTTTTACATTTCCAGCTTTACATTTTCTAAACATCTACCGATCGTTTCTATGGGTGCTATATTATATAGTTGTCCGATTTTCAAAAAATTTATACCAAAATTATGAAATAATAAGAAACGTTCTTATCGCAAAGTAGATGAATTTACGTTGAAAAACAACAAAGGTATTATTTTTTCTCTTAATTTTCCGATTGTTCCTATGGCAGCTATAAGATATAATTTAAAAAAAATTATTAAATGAATTAATTTATTAAATATTAAAGTTATTAGAGTGATGTCAGATTCACTTTTCCCATGTTGTTGGACCAATATTGGGTTGTTAAAATTGCTACATTTTGTCGTTATACGGTAGCAATAGTAGTTCATACTTTACTTAGTCGAACGCAGAGGTGCATACATTTTTTATTTAAGACTTCACATTAGAAACCTTTAAACCTCCAGTATACTATGCATTTATTTAAATCGTTTCTATTAAGTCACTCATTCACCTAAAAATTCCTTAAATGTGATAATTATGATTGCTAGGAAAGCTGAAGGATCAGCGGCCCTAATGAATCGGTATTTGTTTCGTATCTGTATATGTATTCGAATGTACATAACTAGAATCTGCAACTGTGCGAATGAGTTCACACTCGCCGCTCAAAAGTGTCGTTACCATGGGGCCTGTGCATTTACAATTTTGTAATATTTATGCAGGCGACGCCTCTGGTGTGTGCTCGTTGCATGCCATTCGCATACCAATGCCCAAAACATTCTCCATTAAAAATCCCTATTCCTACTTTTATCTATGGCTTGGCCAAGTTGCTTTACGAGCGTTTGGGTAGTCGGGCCATGGGTGGTAGGTGGTGGGAATCCGATATCTGCACACACAGAGGCTGGCAGCCCACCGACCTTTTATGGATAGTTACAGCAAGTTTGTTGGCACTTACAACATTATAAATTTGCCATAAATTATCGTTTTATGGATGCAGCTGATGACACGATGGACTACATATATAGATACTTTGAAGCGAAATGTGCATTAAACGGGCCACCACAGTTGCGGATATCAGCCAGAGCAAAATAAAAAATGTGCTGCCAGTTATAAGGCCCAATAAATGTAATAGAAGACCCTGCGGAAGACCTTAAGCAAGTCTTTTCTCTAAACAAAATACACAAGTATTTAGTTAAATTATTTGAAATTTATTTTTGGATAATATTATCATTAATCGTCACAAAAGTTGACATGAGAAATATTTTAAATCTCCTTTTAAACTCTAGAAAGTATTTATAATTTTGATCATATATATACATATTTTTGATCAGCATCAACAGTCGAGTTGATCTAGCCATGGCCTTATGTCCGCCTTTCCGCCTATCCAATTGTCTCTCCGCTTCTATGCGAACTAGTCTCTCAGTTGGGTTATATAAATGAATCTTTGCAGATAGATTTCTTTATATGACAGGCACAAATCGCTTTATCAAACCAACGGAAGCATAAGAATATTAACCCTCTAGTGCCCAAATTAAAAAAAAAAAATTATTTTTGGATTCAGTATGTATCAAAAGTGAATGTTTGTTTTAGAAAAAATTTTACTTTTGCTCGGATCAAGTTTTATATGACCAAATCCTTGGACCGCATGAAGGCGGTTCTGGGAAGATAGGCCAACAAAAAATTAGGTAAAAAATTTGTTTATTATGAGACTGTCAGCAACACAGTACAATTTTTTTTCTATTTTTTTCCCAATTTTTGAAAAAAGTATTTATATGTTGCAGTATAATATAATTATTTTGTCCAAGTTGCACAAATTTTCAACTTCAAATGAATACAGCAGCTTGCGCTAGCTCTAGTATGTACATATTCCAAACGCAACGAACGTAATTTTTGGACTCTTCTGAATTAGATAAAACGGAAAGCCGTGTGAAAAGGAATGAAAATAATAAAATAACGATGCTTTTAACATTGCCCGTCTATAGGCGGTCTTGGGCACTAGAGGGTTAAGAGAATAGTTATAATTTCGACGTTTTCAATATATATTTATCTACTGTATTGTAGCGGTTCTTAATAATTCGAGAATCTCGTTAATCGGAATGATGTAAAATTATATATTAATATTT